GACATGCATTAATGCACGTGATCCGATGGTATAAAAAAAGAACTTACCGCTGAGGGTTAAAATCCCATAAGAAAATAGACGGGATAGCACCCAAACCAAAACAACTAAGCGTAAGGTACAAAATAAAAGATGGTACTCCATAATCTGCTGTTTGGGGCGTAATATCCCAGAATCTGGAAGTTATTACCAACGAAACGACCCGCGCACCTAGCTCAGCAGAAAAAAAGAAAATGGCGCGGAACCCGTCTGTACACATAACGTTTTAAAAGAAGGTATGTTGATAGGAAACCAAATATTCTTATACACCTTAGGAAAAACCATTGTTATACATGGGAAATCATTTCTTGGCAACAGCGCATCGGCTCGCCTACTTTCATCGCTATTCGTACATATTTCCTACCGTTAACCGCAGACCTGTATCACGAATGAGAATAATAGGCAGATACGCTGTGTTGCCAATTTGAGTAGAGCTTCCCGAATTGTGGGGAATTTAGAGTTAAGGGTTGATTCATTCAAGCTTTTAATCAGCATGGCCTAGACGTTAGAACTTCATAAAGCTAACATTGAAGCTGAATGCTGCTGGAGTATAGTGTTTCGAATATTCAAAGCGGAGCGGTACACTATACTCGTTCAATGGGTCATCGAGCCACAGTCTTTTCAACAAAGAAATTATTTTACGAAAATGCGTTATATTTTTACGATTTTGTCGTCACCAAATCTCTGTTTCTCAAAATGTACGTCTATTGTAGAATTTTCAGCAAACTAAGCAAGAAACGTGATCTAGTATTTACTCAACATTACGGATTTCTCGAAATACATTAAAAAATGTGACCTAGATACCTAACTGCCCCAAGCTCTTTAAATATAACACCTTAAACCAGGGTTACCAGGTGCTCAGTCACGTTGATTGTCATATTGTACTGCGCAAGTCAGCAAACAATCTGGCGTAATAAACGTTAGAAATCATCAGGTATTGCCAGATTCCCGAATACCGGGCACCATAGTAACCGTTATAGTTGTCCTTCAAAGTTGTCAAATCGCCCCTATGGCGCAAATTCGCCACACCAGGCAACTGTGCTATAAACAAACCCTGTTTATCACTACTATTTGATAGTCATATGGTAGTTGTAGCCCTATCTAGCAGTCCATGATTTCTCTCAATACTGTTGTATCTCTACTGGCAACAAGAATAGGGATTACAAAATCATTTATACAACAATATACAAACATGAAAAATATGATTTGAACCATGAAACATTAATACAATTTTAATAGTTTGAACTTTTTTCATTTTTGGAATACTCTTATGTGCAATCCGCAGCTATTTTTCCCGAAATTTGGGTAGACTTAGATTTCTTAGAAATATGACATATTGGTATCGGCAACTCTGCGAATGGGAGAAACAAATCGCATTTGTTGAGCGCATCCGTCTAAGCGGTAGGCGCCAGCGCCCGTTCTGCCATCTCTCTCTTTTATCACTCTTCTACTTTACCCCGTTGTCCGTCACACTCCGAAGCTGCCACATAGGATCCTACAATCGAGTGTCTTTCACGCACCTACATACTTTTGTATATTTCCATCGCTCTTCCTCATCATAATGTATAATAATGTTTTTTCCCAAGGTGTATAGGCTAGTACATACAGAAACCACAGAATGGTGCTGGACACGTACCTTTTAAAAGAAGGTATCTTGATACGAAACCAAATATTCTTATATAGGTTAGTCGTAGATAAATCACAGAGTGGCGCTGATTGCCTAAGGGCGGACACTAGAAAACCAACTTCGAGGTACCAACGATATTTTATTAGGAAATTTCTGCGTTAGTCGTTAATAATACCATAACATTAGTGTCCAAAGGATTACAATACAATACTGAGTCGGTGAGAAAGAAAGATATAATACGTGTGGAATTATACAATCAATAAACTATGAAATGTGTCAAATGAAAATGATTAAAAGAGTTTAGCCCAGGAATCGGCACTCTACAATTAATAGGGAGAAATTCAAATTACTAGTAAGTGATCAAAACAGGTTACATCGTTTTGGTACGTTACAACATTAAAAATGTACCTTTACAGTTTGTATTTAAATTAATGAATCCCAAATGCACTACATTTTTGTAAGTTGGTTTTCGATATTTCGAACTTCTTTGCTCCACCCACAATGGTTTTTGGTTTAACACACTGATATTGTCACAGCCAGTTCGACTATAGCCTTGCAACTCCATCAGCAACAGGAAATTTCAAAATCCGAACGTAAATTACCGGCCACACTATTAACATCAACCCTTGTCGCAGTATTTCATGCAGCTCACAGCAGCGCATTCGAATAATTATTAGGGGACGCGGATGTCGGGTGGCTTAATTTCCCATTAATTGCTAATATTGATTAATAACTTGCTGGATCCATTTTGGCAGGATACCTTTTCAATGAGTCAATGAAACGGAAGAGGCATTTTCGCAACAATAGGCTCGCGGTGTACAGCCAACCTAGTGAACATAGCGAGTGATTCTGTAAAATTGCCTATGCCCATGCTCCGCTAGCGTGAAGTACTGTAAAGCATAAGTCATCCTTTTTGCATTAGTGTGAAGGAAATACAAAGAAATACTATGAACTGCTGACTTGATTCGGGTCTAAAGGCCGTCGTCGGTTGGAATTTCTTCCTAACGTTTCGCTAGCACGAGTGGCAAGCTTCTTCAAACGTCCTTCCATTTCCGATGTTGGATGTAGACTCACGATTTCTTTTGCGCAGGTTGTATTTATACCGGAGGGTAGGGGACGTGGCTTGTTCCGCTTCGGTTGACTTCGAGATGTCGATCGGCACTGCTCGGGCGTTTTTGAGGATCGAGTGCCAGATCGGGTTGAGTCTGAGGGTCTCATCCTTCCTGTTGAAGTTAACTGGATGTTTGTGAATCTCCCTGACCAGTCGAGTTTCTGCAGCACCTCAACGATCGGCATCCAAGCATACAATTTACCATGGAGATAGAGAGTGACCAACAACTGGCCTTTTTGGACGTACTGGTCAGGAAGCGAGGTAACGCACACAGACAGATACCTGCACGCTTTATCCAATCATCACCCAAGTCAGAAGTATGGAGTCATCAGAACCCTGACAGAATGAGCTCGAAGGATTTGCGAACCGGAGAACCTCCAGACAGAACTTGAACACCTGAAAACTGCGTTCGAAGCAAATTGCTACAGCAAGAGGGACATCGAAAGATCAGTGGGCTCGAGATCAGCCAGGCCACGTGAAACCGAACAGCGTCCCACCACCTCTCAAGCGTATCTTCCTTTTGTGCCAAGAGTCACGGACAGGATTGGCAGAGTCCTGAAGAGACATGACATTAAAACAATCTTCAAGCCTACGAAGAAGATCCAATAAACCATCAGATCGGCAAAGGACAAGAAAGACCCACTCTCAGCTGCAGGAGTCTACCGCATACTCTGTTCATGCGGCAAAGTATACATTGGAACTCAAGGAGCACAAAGCAAATTGCCGGCTAGGACAAACTGAGAAGTCTGCGGTAGCTGAACATGCACTAAGCAATGGGGACCACAGGATACACTTTGGGAGCTGCAGGTTGCTGACATCAGTTAACGGCTATCACAATAGACTGGTCAGGGAAGCTATTGAGATTCACAAACATCCAGTTAACTTCAACAGGAAGGATGAGACCCTCAGACTCAACCCGATCTGGCACTCGATCCTCAAAAACGCCCGAGCAGTGCCGATCGACATCTCGAAGTCAACCGAAGCGGAACAAGCCACGTCCCCTACCCTCCGGTATAAATACAACCTGCGCAAAAGAAATCGTGAGTCTACATCCAACATCGGAAATGGAAGGACGTTTGAAGAAGCTTGCCACTCGTGCTAGCGAAACGTTAGGAAGAAATTCCAACCGACGACGGTCTTTAGACCCGAATCAAGACAGCAGTTTAACAACTAGGCACGAAAGCCTTAACCAATTTGTCAAAGAAATACTATGTTCAAAGTAATGCAATAGTTATTCTAGCAGTTCGCATTATTTATTCAGTATGAACCATAAATAGTTAGTGAAGTATCTCACAAAATGCGTATCATACCTAAACATGAATGCTTAGAATTATGTAAGAATTGATTTATCATTCATTTCAAGAAATTTTTGTAAGCAACACTATTTGGTGTATTATTTGTAGCGTGAATGTATAGATTTTTGTGGACCTACTATCATGGCCCCAAAATTTCAGAGACTACCAAGTAATAACGAATCACACAAACCCACTTGTTGAAAAATTGCTACAATAGCAACCTCAATTCCTCGAAGGAATGGCACAAAATTTCTGGGGGGTTGAGTATGCCCTTCAGGAAATGCAAAAAGCGGTGTTATTCCACTTCCGAAGTCTGATGAAGACAGACATAAGACAAAAAAAACAGTTACATGTTTTGTCTGAAACAAGAGATATAAAATATTGAACAAGACATCATGCTGAAACCGAGATATGAAAGAATACAAATAAACATAATGCAAATGGCAAATGTTGTTTTACTCGACTTACTGATTACTGTCTTAGAGATACATGATTGCTAAGGTAGGAAGATAAGTGCTCCCTCAAATTGAGAGGTTCATATGAATTCCATATTGAGTATTTCTGAGTATCGTTTTGGAAATGTAATGTCCGCTTTCTCCACATCCCGCCGCCAATTATTCATGAATTATGGGTTTCGATAATATTATGGAGAGTCCAACGTGCCGCTACAATTTCAGGAAGAAATTTATGGCTCAGCTCGCATTCCTTTAAATGTGTATGCAAGTTACATCCATCATCACCCTGTATTTTATATAATATTATACGTAAATTATTACCTGGTACTTGTATTTCTTGGTGGCATTGTCGCTACGCTATGGAATCGTATCTCGCGCCTTGAATGTCACATGTTAACATCTTCTGTATCAGCATATTATATTTCTACTGCATTGTACTAAATCCATGTGTGAGGAAATCTTGTCACTTTCTGTCTAACCATCCTGTTTTACGCATCGTCGTGACAGGGTTTCACAAAAGTAATTTTGTACCGTTAATCAAAATAAAGTTTTTTTTAAAAAACGAGTATTTCGGTATCAGTAATTTAACTGAGGGCTCTGCCGGGATCCTTCAGCGTGTCGCGAAACGTGAAACGTGCATCTTCGGCGTCCGAATTCGAGGCAATCGAGCAGAGTATCGGCCAGCCGAAATCACCAGTCATAGACACGCGAACTTTCAAGTTCTTAGAGGGATCCACAGCCAGCAACAACAGAGTGAAGGTACTAGGGGCCAGCAGCATTGGGCGTCGGCCCTAAGTTCCAGAACTCCCGAAAACCTTGATAATAGAAGCGGTTCAGCTAGGAGGGTGTGCTGCATCTTTAGCGGCACAATCAGTCTATCGTAGAAACTAGTGAAGCCGAAGAAAGAAGAAAAGGTAGAAGACGAACGTTTTTTCAACGTTTCTCATGAATCTTTGGTGTGTGGTCGTGTTACTGTAAGTTTTTGAACATTTTTGCTGTTTATCATTGTTTTTTGCATAAACATTTCCTAGTGGTGATATTTCATCAAACATCTCTGGAATAATTATATTTATCTTGCGAATATTTGTAAATATTTTTCATTTATTAGATCTTGTAAATTTCTGTGATACTGGTTCTTGAAGTTTTGGTACATCCTGAGATTTTTATGCCTCTTTATCATTCCGATAGTGAATCAGATCGTTCTGACTCTGACAGGCACCGAAACCGTTCACGTGAATTAACAATCATGACTTCAGAAATTAGTCTAGAGTTGTCTCTTGCGAAAGATATTGTTCCTGATTATTTTGGCGGTAGTAAAGATCTTTTGGATTTCGTCACGAAGGCAGACCAATTTATAGAATTGCTGAAAAAGCCGGATCTTATCAACAGTATTACGATCGAATAAACGAACAATTGCAAAAAATGTTGCAACATGTAAAATTAAATTCGCCTCCTGAACTATTTCAGATAAAATCAGAAATGTACTGTGATCAGGCTTTAAAACGCTTCATTTTTGGATTGAAGGATCAGTATAGTAATATATTTGCGCACTTACACGAGAATAGTTTGCCAGACGCTTTGCGTAAAATTCAAGGAACAGCTAGATAAAACGGAATTTCTCCGCAAAGAGGTACCATTCTTAGGTCACATTATCACCGAACAAGGAATAAAACCCAATCCAGACAGAATAAAAGCAATCGTGGAATTTCCTATTCCAAAGACCACAAAACAAATTAGGTCTCACCGCAACCAATGACTAGAACGTTGAAGAAGGGTGCCATATTAGGCATTTGAAAAATTAAAAGACTTAGTCACAAATTCGCCAGTTTTAGTTTACCCTGATTTTTCGCAACCTTTCAAACTGACAACCGATAGTAGTAGCGTAGCTCTTGGTTCTGTCTTTTCCCAGAAGGACCTGGTACGTTAAATAATGCCGAAAGGAACTATAGCGCAACGGAGAGGGAATTGCTTGCAATCGTAGATTCTGTAAAACATTTTCGCCTTTATCTGTATGGAAAAAAAATTGTAATTGAAACAGATTGCAAACCGCTGACTTGGCTCTTTAATCTGAAACACCCGGTATCCCGGCTAGCACGCTGGAAGGTCCGCCTCGAAGAATATGACTATGATATACTTTATAAAAAGGGTAAAGGAAATTGCGTCGCTGATGCGTTATCAAGGGCAGAACTTAACGCCGTGGATGACCAATTACCCTGTACATCTAAGGAAAATCCTGAATACCTTCAGATTCCTTTAGTAAGAGCATGTCTTGAGAATAAGCGTGAAACTAACCAAACTTCTATACAAGGGGAAGCAGAACACTCTGTTCAGTCATCTTCATACAATCCTTCTAGATGGGGAACGACGAACAATAATAATTACGAGCACCCTATTAATGTACTTCCTTTTTCAGAAAACCCACTGAATTATTTCAAATGTCAATTTGAGTTCAAAATTTTGGATAATTATAAAGTTACCAGAAAGGAGATTTCCAAAAATAAATACAGATTATATGTGACGCTTTCGCCCGATAGTTTACATTCTCAGATATCACAAACACTTATCGAGTATGTCGATCCAAAAAATACATATGGTATCTTCTGTCATAATGAACCCTTGAAACCGATTATTACACAATTGGTAAGCTCCCGGTTTGACCCCGATGTTCATCTAATTTTTACAAATAAACTACTTTTAGATATCACCGACGAAGGGGAACAAACAAGATTAGTCCAAGAATATCACTCAAAAAATCATAACGGAATTCAAGAAACACTAAAGACGTTTCAACTAAGGTACTATTGGCCCAACATGAAAATAAAAATACCCGTTCGAAATTATTCACGTTGTTACTTTCAAAATTGATAGCAACAAGTTTTTTAATATTTTGGATTTATTTTCTAAATATGGGCGCCTATCATATTACTGATGAGAATTCAATAACTTTGCTTGAAAAACTACGTAATTTTATCAGCCATCATGGAATTCCTGTAAACATAACATTTGATAATGGAGCCGGATTCACAGCCAGAACTTTCAAACAATTCTGCGAGTTACATAGTCCATTTTACCACTCCTGAGAATCATTCATCTAATTATCCCGTTGAGAGGTTCCACAGTACCCTTAAAGAAAAATTAAGTGCATCTAAGGCTTCAAAACCCGAAAACACATATAAAGGATCTCATGGTGACCGCGATTTTGAATTATAATCAGTGACCATAGTTCAACGAATTTTCTCCCCACTCACTCAGCTATACTCCTTTCAACAGAACAAATGTAACAAATATCGAATTAAGTAAGGACACATATGAACAATACAACCAAAAGCGTATTGACGAGCTCAAACTATTATATCAGTCGGTAAGCGATAAATGTAAGGAAAAAGCTGAAAAGGTTCTCCGAAAGAGAAACGAAAATCGCAATGAACGACCGGAAATTCCTAAAGAGACTACGGTTTTTGTCAAGTCCAGACAAAGGACTACGAAAATCAACCCTAGACAGGTGAAATCCAAAGTTGGAAATCAGAAAGACAATACCTTGCGGTTACAGACTCTAAGCAAAAAACCAGTTCGCACTAGAAGAAATTTGCGTCAGATTAAAAGAGTAAAAAAGGGTTTTTCTTCACAGGGCAACCCTATGGCCGCAGAGTCTTCCGCTGAGGCTTCATCAAGTCCCAACCAATAAGGGTTTCTACCCGGAGCCGTTGGGGGACGCAAAATTAATAAGCCATTATCATACGTTTAATTTTAGCCATAATCTCAGCTTAATAGCTGATGTTATTAGACATATAGAACTTAGTTATAGTATTGTAGTAAATCGTTCTAATGAGATCAACCTCAAACCGGTACTAGAGGACCTATACAAAAATGTTAATAATGTAAAAATGGAAGATTTAAAATTATCACCTTATCATTCACACAATAGAAGGCGTCGAGCGATTATTAACGGATTTGGCAGCATAATCAGGTATGTGACAGGAAATTTAGATCAAGATGACCTTACAGAAATCAACGATAAATTTCAATCATTAAAAGACAAGGAAAACGAACTTATAATAGCCATCAAAAATCATTCGCTCAGCTCATTTCACAAAAATTTGTGAACGATATGAAAGTCATTCAAAACAATGTACAATTGCTATCAGAAACTGTCAAGAAGTCAATTTATGATTACGAATATGGAAGTTCGATTTTTAGACTATTTATTCCTTTGCGAGAAATTTTAGATTATCTCAGACTGATCCAAGGCACAATATCCTTATCACAGAAACAGACGACAAATGTAGCTAAAATTACCATTCTCATGTAAATAGCACTCTTATAATAGGTGTATTTGTTGTTATATTGTTTGTGCTTGTGGTAAAATTAAAAAAGTTCTGTAAAGAGTAAAAATCATCTCGAAAGTCAAATCAGTCTATTGCGATTGATAAGAACGAGGACGTTCCAAGAGTTTAAGGGGGGAGGAGGTATATCCATCATCACCGTGTATTTTGTATAATATTATAATTATTACCTGGTACTTGTATTTCTTGCTAGGATTGTCGCTACGCCATGGAATCGTATCTCGCGCCTTGAAGGTCACATGTTAACATCTTCTGTATCAGCATATTAAAGTTCTACTGCATTGTACTAAATCCATGTGTGAGGAAATCTTGTCACTTCTTGTCTAACCGTGCTGTTTTATGCATCGTCATGACAAGGTTTCATAAAAGTCCTTTTGTACCGTTAATCGAAATAAAGTTTTTTTTAAAAACAAGTATTTCGGTCGCAGTAATTTAACTTGCATATTGTCGGAGTTCTGCTGTGGTGCTGCTGCTCTGATTTGGATATGGCTTGATCAGCCAGGAAAATAATGTTTATTCTGGATCCCCCAGTGACACATAAAGCATAGTTACTCCATCTAACTTCAAGGAACTCTAAAATTATTTTGACTTACTATGATTATAAAACTATGATAGAAAGTAACAGAATAATTGATACAGTTTTATTGAATACCATGGAAATTGAAACAAAACTTTTATCTCAATACAATCTATTCGACTTTATTGCAATAAATAAAAGTAAAGTATAGATCAATTCCTAATTTTTGAAATTCTCACAAAAAAAATGTGATGACTTTGTCTATAAGAGTTCCACGTTCACCTGATCGAATTTCTCTCTAACATCCTGTCAACTGATTGTAGTTAAAACTGTGTACGAGTACTCTCGTCAAGGCCCAATACATTATATGTATTATCATGCTGTAAACTCACTTTTGGCTTTACTGTAGAAATGTTCCTTAATAAATTTGACCTAGCCAAAACTTCAGCATCATGAGTTGATTTTGTATGAAAATATCCATTATTTTCTGTTGATAAATTCTCTATATCCTTCCTTGGGTGGCTTGATGGGGGTGTATGTGTTTCATTAATGCTCCTAAAATATTTGGTAAGCAAGTGGATCTTTCAGAAAGTGACGCAATGTTGCTGACTTCAGCTTCGTATGGCATTCTGATGTACCTTGAAAGCAATACTTGATTTACAGCCTTTACAAAATTATACGCTGTATTGTGCACAGTGGATGTCTAGATTTCAAAAGTGTATGCTACAATACATTATTCATATGTTCTGGGTAAATAGAATAAAGTCACTGCCACTTTCCTTTCCACATGATGTAATGATTCTCCTATTATTGAGCACATTTTCTTTTTGTCGTAATGCCTCTCTTAATTATTCAACACGAAACCTGAATATGGCTTTACCAACATGAAGACCTTTAACCAATCTAGCTCAACAATGTTTTCACTATACAGTGTGTCTCCTAAGTGAATGTCAGTATTTGAGCGTACGACTTTCTGGTCAATTTTGAGAAGAAAACTCTATATGAACGTAATGTCCTAAGCGTCTCAACTTTTTAAATATGGAGTGGTAAAATTTCGCATGTGTGATTTTGTTAATAAGCAACTCTAACCTACAAGTGGCTTTAACCATTCGTG